TTATATTAATAATTTAGTTAAAGGGTTTAATATGAATCAAACAATACTTGAGGAAGTTTTTCGTTAAAAACCCTACTATATATCAGATAGTTAAATGAGCAATTGATAACGAAAGATCAGATAATAATCCATTGTCATAGTTTTTTTTTTCGACAAATCAAATATATTGATATCATAAAGAGTTTACAAAGTACAACATTCTCCATACGACCGATAACACAAATACGGGAAATTGTTGAAACAATTTCGATGAAGGAGTGGAGAGTAACCAAGATTTTCTACCGGAAGTCTTATAGGCTAACATATAAAATCTGTTATGTCCCTCTTTCATAAACTTTTCGTTGGCTATCATCTTTCCGATAAAATTAAACTCCGAAATGCACTCAACATTACATTGACTAATAAGGGTAATTTAAATGTTGTTGATGATGAAATTGAACCTTGTCTCCTCGATGATATTAGAATACTTGATGATTCCGACAAGGGTTTTTTGTGCTTAACTTGGAGGACAAGCTGACTTCGAATGATGGAGAGAAAAAACCAGAAATTCCATCTCTTTGAGATTCGATGGAAGTTAAAGAGACAAATCATCTTTACTTCTCTCTCTCGATTTGGCCATAACCATTTTTCTTCTTAACGGACAATCTTTAACATCCAAATCGTTTACCCCTGGATCCCAGATCCGTCCTTGAAATTTTCTTCTCAATTTGGAGAGATTCAATTCAGAATCACAAACAATTTGGTGATGAAATTGAACCGTTTTAAAGATGAAATGACAGAAACCAATCGGAGAAATCCCGAGTGGATTGAAGCCAACACAAAAACTCATAGACTCTTGCCGGATTATGGTCAGAAAACAATTTTCCCGTACTGAGAGAAAAAATAAATTGATCTCGAAATTGAAACTTCAAAATCATCGATCTGGGTTTTATTTTGGAAGAAAAAACTAACGAACAAACTAAGGAAAGAAGGAAGAAGATCGCGCCGTCGGAGTCGGCGCCGGTCGGAGTTTGCCAAGAGGAAAAGTCGATTGTGTGTTGTCTTTGAATCGTCGCGAGAGAAGAGAGAGACCTTCAGTAAAATAAAATGTATCCAATCCATTATCACATTTTAACTGTAATATTTTCTATTGAAATCATTATAAGTTTTTTTGGGTTAACTTATACAAATTATTTTCTTATCCATAAAAACGTTTACAAGTCAAAGATAAAGATAATCGCGTGTACAAACGCTCTCCAATCCATGCGATAATCCGATCTTTTTCCTTCCTGTAAATTGGTTATTAACCAAATAAACCCATAAGTTTTTGCATCTTTGAGTCAAACGAACGATTTATTAAATCATAACCATTTTGATGAATTATTTGATCAGCCAAAGAAAGAAAAAAACAGTTATGTATTCATCATTTTTTGCGTTTAATATACAACTTTTTTTTTTATCGTCAGAGCTTATAAATTTCGTACAAATTGTCATAACTGAATTATTTTTGTAAAAGGAAAGACAATGATTTCAAGAAAAAAATATTGGGTCTGTTATAAACTTATGTTAACAAAATAGTATAAAACCTATTTTANAAAATTATTTTTCAAAACTATTTTACAAAGGTGCTTAAAACATCACGACTTAAAGATTTAGCTATCATTTTTCTCTG